ATGATATTGTTGATAATGATTTATAAATTGTAGAATGTAATAGAGAGTAGAGCAGAGAATGAAAGTTTGGTGGGAAAAAATTGTGAAATGAGTGAGTATTTGTAGAAGAAGAAAATTAGAAAAATAATAAATAAAAAATTTGACGAGCCTACGAGCCGCTCGTCTTGGGCTTGCCAACAAGCCAGGCTCGTGGGCTCGCCAACGAGCTGTTCGCCGAGCGGCTTGTGAGCAGTACGAGCAGAGCGGGATTGGCTCGTCCAGTGAGCGAGCCCGCTCGGCTCGTGCTCGGGCTTGTCTTTTGACGAGCATGAGTGGCCGAACCGACGAGCCGTTGGCTCGATTGCCACCACTATCCGAACCCCACCCCAATCCAAAATCACCCACCGTCGCCACTAGACAATTATCGCCACCACACGTCGACACCACCACTATCAATCCTTCTCCTCCACCCTATCGGAACCATGAGAAAGGCGATTCAAATTAAATTTTAAGTCAATAATTAAATTTTAAATGTCCAAAGTCTAAACTTTAGTGCACATGGTTCAAATTTGTGGACGTGTGTGAATCTTGTATTACTTGAATAATTTATTAATACATCTTTAAATTTAAAATAATTCTCCTTGTACAATACTTGATTACAACATTGGATGACAACCTCTCACAATGGAGTGGGGCCCGCGATTATTTTAATCTCGGGCCCCACCCTCTTTGTGAGAGGTTGTCATCCAATGTTCTAACTAAGTGTTGTACATGTTGCATTCCTCTTAAATTTATTCCTCTTTTCCTCCAATTCTAGCATAGAAATATTTCATTACTTGTAAGAATGAACGAAGAAAAGATTCCATTACTTGCAAGTTCAAAATAGAAGCTAAAGGTAGAACAATTATAGAGACAAACTACACATAATGTTTGGCTCAATAATTACTTCATGAGTTGCATAAAACACGAGTGATTTTTTAAAGTTCATTTACAAATTCCACAAGCTATTTGCTGCTACATCTTGCACTTCAAAACTGAAATGAGACAAAAAGAACAAAAACTATTTCTAACTTGCATCATGGCTCCAATGCTTAAACATTTTGCATCATTCGAGGAATTGTTACATTGCTCCAATGAGAAACTAGTAAACACTAACAAGGAAACGGCGAGAATCGGGCCAATCAGACTTGTTGAAGCGCTTGATAGCAATCCACTTATAATTTTCAAGAAAATCCTTTATACACTACATTGGGAGCCTTCTGTCCATGCTCTGAAACAATGTTTTCAAAAGAAAACCCATTTGCAGCAGATTTCAGCTCTTCCCAGCTGAACTCTCTAAAGCATGGCAATTCATTTTTCTCTCCATTTTCTGTAACCATTTTACACAAAAACCCAATAATTTAAATTAAAGATACAAAATCTCCTCCAAATACAATATTATACTTAAATATGCCTACCTAGATCAGAGGATTGAAGAATAAAGGGCTTGAGGTTAGAATGCCACCAGCAGAATGAAAATTTGGAGCAACTTGCGCCCATTTTAATGGCAACACAACACAAAGAAACTAAAGCACATAGCAAATGTAAATGACAGATCAAAATTGAGGCATTGCATTATAATGAAGGAATGGAAATTATTGTTTAAATACAATACTGGATTTTGGTTTTCATATTTCAAGACAAATCATGCACTATAAATGCAAGGAAACAATTAGCAATTGACAATAAAATCATACAAGATAATATAACAAAAAATGATTTTGTCTTATGTTTAAACTTAATAACATCTGAGGTTGTCTAAAAAGTCTGGAAGAGAGGAATAAGGTATTGGTTTGGTATTCACACTAATTCCTATTAACAAAACTTATCACACAAAGGGAGCAGAAACGACAATCAACTGCTGTCCAGGAGGCGGAGACAATATTTCACACACAGACTCCATTAAACATCAGAAAATATTAAACATAAAGGTGGTAAGAGCATGAACCTTGATTCCTACTATCTAGCCAGGCATTTCATTCACAATGGTAATTCCAAAGCCTCGATGTTCAGCCCACTTCTTATACACATCTGCATGACCATTGAAGCCTGGCCCATGCTCTCGATACCACAAACTCCGGCTTGAACCTATAATTAGTAGAAAAAGATCGATTTCACCAAATTGATTCAACAAGTGCAATTATATCTAGATAATAATACCACTAAAACAAAGTTATCGAGTCCACCAAGAAATAGCAAAACAATTACACATTTTTACAAGGATAAAATTTAGAAGCAAATATCTATTGATATTTA